TCACCTTGGAAAGCGGGTGACAAAGCTTTGGCTGGGCTGAGCAGCTCGATGAAGAGGCAGGCTAGAATTGGGATTCTCGCTTGCTGCCACTTTTTCAACCAGCCTTGAAACTTCATACGATCTGCGGCCTTAAACGAGCTGTCCTGGGACATCGTCTGCAGATACTGGAGATACACGCCATACTTGTCAACCAGAAGCTGCAAGGCGCTAAGCTTGTGAGTTATCCAACGGGTTCCTGAAGGAAAAAAAGATGCATTTTACTCATACAAGTCAGTAATTTAAATTTGATAATATCGTACTAGCAAGTACATAACTAATCTACTTGAGATATCCTAGGCTACTTATGATGTTGCGTCAGAAGGAGGGGGGAATCAGAATGTGCTAATGTTTCAAAAGAGTTCAAGTAAAAAATTGCCAGTGCGTTCTGTATAACACAGCATCATACATGGTTACAGAGTTGAATTGGTTATATTTACTTAGCTAGATACTTTTCAAGATCTCAATTTTACGCACGAATTTTAAAGACGCAAAAAAACTTTAATAGTTACCACAGGCGCGTTTTGGTCTTACTCCTCCTCCTTCAAATTCAAAGGATTCGCCATAAATACGGTGAAGATCGCGCAGCTGTCTCAGCTTTTTTGGTGAATTTTCATAAAGGTAATAAAGATGCAGAAGCACTTCATCTATATAGTCAAAGACAGTTCCCTTAAGAGCGTCCTTGAGGGAGAGCTCCAGTCGATGAGCCACACACCAGATGTAAATAACCCAAGGTAGAGTACTTTTCATAAGGCCGATTACACCATCTTTGTCCCCACGGTTAACTGAAGCACCATCAGCAGCAAACCCGACCAGTTTTCGTTCAAAGGACGCCTCAGGGATGTTGACCGCTTGAAAACTTTTCTTTATGGCGCTTACGATTCCCGCAGCATCACCATGTTTCAAGTCCACCAGCCTGTTAAAAAATAACATTGCCTTGTAAATGTAAATAATATTATAAAAATTAGAAATAAGGACAAATTAATGCTCGATAATGACTCATTATTGTTTACTAACCTTACAAATGCAGTTACAACTTGAACTGTGTCCCGTCCAGGTCGGTTCGTCTCCAAATATTGCACAAACACGGCTTCTTTCTCTGTAATGGAAGCATCCGTGGAGCCGTCTGTCAGGACACTGAAAAAATTAGCAGTGGATAACTTCTCCCCCAATTTTCTGGCCAGCTCTTCTCCAATGTGAGAAATAAACATATTACAACTCTTGTCGCTGCGATATGCTTTTCCCAAATCTACCCCATGCTTTTCTTCTAGTTGTAGGAGGTTTGGGTATTTTGCAAGAGGCAATTCTTCCTTGGCAACGAAATATGCAACTTCGAACTTAGTTTTTGTTCTGGAAAGGTCAGTTGACTGCATATTGGCGATGCCGGTTGTAATCAGTTGCTGTCCAGAATCATTGGCAGCTTTCATGGATTCTGCTCTTTCAAAGGCATGCTGTCCCTTTATTTCTTTCATATGTAGGTCCAGCGCCCTCTTATGTGGCTCACCTCGAGCATGGTCCTCGGCGTTGCTTAAGCGAAGGTTAGTGGACCCAGTGAATGCCCAAATGGTGGAGAAGTTTTTCATTTCATTTATCTTGTCAGCGAATGCTTTACATACAGAGCAGTTTAAACTCATTACACAATCTGACTTGTTCTTGTCAGCATTGATGACAAGCCACTCGCTTGCTTGGTGTGTTGCTAAGGCTCCTGTTTTCCAACCATTGGCTGTTGTCACGGTTGATCTTCTTGGTTTCTTGGTTGTTGGAGGCGCCAATGTGGATGCTGATGGCATTTTTTCAAGGCGAGAGTCATCTCGAGGCTTTGATCTAGGTGTTTCGTTGTCTACTAATGGCTTCACAGATGGCTTCGTATTAACATTAAAGAATGCGGACAGATTGGATTGACGAGGTTTAGTTGAAAGGTCGGAGATTTTTTCGTTTACGGCTAGCGCTATTGCTCTGACAATCCTCGCAGTTTCCAACAAGGTAGCTTTCCTCGCAATAACCTGGCGTTTCAGTAGAACAAGGTATAGAGCATACGTTACAAATTGGAGTTTTACATCCAATGCAGCGGTACTTGATCCCTGTTCGTCCACACTTTGTGCAATCCATAACTATCGATCTTGTGACTTCTAGTTAACCGTATATTATATACTGATACATGTAGCACAGATAGCGGTCATTTACGAGTGAGAACTCTATGCAATTGCCTTTGTTTTTTAAATCGGAACCGGCAGACTTGTGAAATACTTTGGGCAAGGCGTCAATTAGTCCGCGCCGCAGACGTTACGTCTGCGGCGCAGGCTAGGCGTGAATTTCGATTATATTTCGCAACTTGCTCAAAAATAGAATTTTCACAGTTTCGTCCACGCGAGTGTTCCTTAATTTATAGGTTTTATTGATATCATTTCGCTCCAAAACGTCAAGAAACATGATCAACGCTTTATCAGACTTAGTTCTCGCCCTG